CCGTTTTCCTCCAGCTTGTCGCGCTGGCCCGGGAGGGACCCCCGGACCCCAGGACCCCGGCCCGCAGTGCTGGGGCCGTCGCGCTCACCGCTTGGCTTGTTCACGTGGGAATCCAGCAACGTGTCTCATCGTTACACGTGAATTCGCGGGGGGCCCGCAGCAGCGCCCCTGTGTCCCGGTCCCCACCATCTGCCGGGCCTGGGCGGGAGCAGGTCGGGGAGGGTCCCAGTCCCCAGGCTTGCCCGGGCGAGGAGCAACACGGATAAATCAGCGGGTTTTCAGAGAACCGGGCTGGGGCGCTCAGTCCCAGGGGCCGCGATGATCAATTCTGTGAGCCCGTAATTGTTCAAATTAGTCTGAGCAACATAAAACATTAATTTTAAGAAATTTAATAGAAAAAAGCTCTTTAAATCCACAACGAGATAAATGACACTCAGTCCGGCGACCTCTTTCCATACCTTGGTGACATTGAATAATCTGAGAGTTATTTACATTTTCATTCTTGGTGGAAGATGTTGACAAGCATTTGGCCGCCGGCGAGGCCGCCACCGCGCGGGGTGCCCTCCCCCTAATTAATGGGGGAGCAGCGACTTCATAAGCAGAATCTCCATCCGTCTGCCCCGCCACCTCCATGCTGGCTCCCACCCTCTTGGAGCTGATGCAACTGCAGCTCATTTTTTACCATAAAAATATTCCATCCGGACCAGGGGAGCCCCTCCAGGCAGCGTTCAAAAGCAGGTATGGGACACAGACGCAGTTGTCACATTCGGGGCTACGGATGGAGTCCAAGACCAAACCTGGGAGAAAACTCCAGATTCTGCAGCCCCCAGAGTCAGTCGTGCATGCATGTGACAGTGTGCACGGCGGGCGTGGGGGTCATCCTTAGACCCCAGGTTCCAAACAGCCCTCCAGTCCTCAGTGCCACGTGCTTTGCCCCGGACTGTCCTGGGGAGGCGTCTCAGCGAGGTGGCAGGATGTGCTGTGCCAGGCAGTCCACCTGGCTGGCCGCCATCTGCTTTGGGGCTGGGCTGGGTCTCAGAGCTGGGGAGCCTGGCAAACCGGGCTGGGTGGGAAGCCCCCGTCTCCCTGCTGATCCCACATGCCCAATATTAAAGACCTGGTAGAACCAGGCACCAGAGCACAGGCTTGGGCGAATTGACCCACGTACCT